TTAAAAGTGAACTGGGACTATTATACTATTATTTATTATATCATTCGATTATTATTACTATAACGTTGCACATCAGCAACTCACCAGCAACACCAACAATCTCAGACACCTAAGCGGTGGACTTCTATGTTCCGATTGGTTGCCGCCGAACTGCGTCATAGCTCATTACCATAAAGTTGACCTGATTTCAACTCTCCTCGATGCCCTCACCGACCAAGACGGGCCGCGCCGCTGCTCGACGCCGGCTCACATTGAAAATGAATGATTTCCGGCCACTTTGACGCTCTCGACGGTGGTGGTGTGAACGCACGGTTACGGTGCGTTTCCACTACAGATACTAAATACACTAAATCTGCGCTCAGAGCCGCTGGCAACACTACAACGCCACTGCTTTGGGGGGTGTCAAATTTAGGGCAGAGCACGCCTCTGAAAACCATGTTTACACCCTGTTTGCTTTTCTTCTTCTGCTTTTAATGGCGATTGGTTGTCGCCCGACGTTTTTCGAGGAATGCCCAACATTTTTGCCGCTCTCGGCCGCTCAACGCTTTCAATCCCATAATGCACCGTGCGAGCGTTTACGCTCAACTTCCATAGGAATCAATTGAAAATGCTCTCTCCGCTGCACTCGCTACGTACCAGTGGAAAGGCACCGTAAATCTTGCCAGGATTCAACAACTGGGGCCAGTTGCCTAAACTTAGCCACCATGTTAGACTGTGTCTTAAGAACTAGTTTGACCGCCAAGGGGTAATCAGTCTTACTTTTCCAATACAGATAAGACCAATCTACCTTTTCATAACTGAATTTAAATAGTTATGACCAGTCTTGAAGAAAAACAATTAGTTGACTTGTGATCGTACGCTTCAGGGACCAGCCAAGACTGATCACACCGGTGTGATCGTACGCGTCAAAGGGTTAAGACTAGTCTAAACAGTTTATGCAACCAGCCCCTGCTGTCAGTTGGAGGCGTGACAGGTCACGTGACCTACCAGTTGCGCCTGACAGGGAAATACTTATGCGAGGCCTTCGAAACAACTTGCTGTTTTTAAGTGCTTATATGTTTGGCAACTTTATTTATTATTGTTCTTGGAAATATATTATTTGCGGCTCTAGGATGCCATTTCAATCAATAAGTTGCGGGCTTCTTCAGTTACTTCACTGACATATGAAATATATCAGTTCATTGAACCTTTAGAAAAAATAAAAAAAATAAATAAAAATTACAAAGTGTATGTGTTTTATGTTTTGTATAATTGGCTTTTATAGCCTAGTATGAGAATGGAGTTCATAGGCTAGGCTACTCGAGGAAGAAAACAACGCATCAGTTTTATACAGAGGCAGGGGCGGATTGGCCATCTGGCAATTCTGGCAAATGCCAGAGGGGCCGGACCATTTTGTTTAATGTGGGCCGGTCAGATTTTTTCTAAATATATATAAATAAAATTGTTTTTACGAGCCAACAGCGCATAGGACAGGTTTTTATCGCTTGCACGATTTCTCTATGGTTATAATAATAATAATATTAATAATAAATAAATGTTAAGCATTTGGCCCAGTCGGCAACGGCCGGCCGCCTGGTCCCGAGATGGGCCGACCGAACTCTTTTCAAAAGGTTTAAATTCGGCTGCTGCAGCGGAGGACAGTTAGTGCCGCAGAGGTTAGAAGAAAACAGAAAATACAGCTAGCACAAGTTATTTTCACACTACTTCTGCCAGTTAGCTCCTGTGTTTTTTTTTTTTGAGGTAGGTAAAACCCAACAGACAGACAGTGACAACAAAGAACAACATACTGTAGAGAATGACAGTAACAGCAGACAAATGGCATAAACAGACAGCACACAGACTCTACAACATCCTCAGATTCTTTTTCTTTTGTTTTTACTGTATGTGTAAATTTTTTTTATAAACGTGTGCTCTTTAAAAAGTAGTAAGCATTGTTTGCCAGACACATACATTAAATGTTTAAATATCTGTTACATATATGGTACTGCTTATATTATTTCACCATCTGTACACAAATGTAAGTAGTGAATGCGGGTGGGGCTGTGTCGGTGTGGTAATGTGGGCCGATGTGGCTACAGTGCCAGGGCTGAATTTTTGTCCCAGTCCGCCCCTGTACAGAGGCACAAATTGAGCAAAAATATGCAATTTGGCGCTGATGCTGTTATTTATATGGCTAAAAGGTAGATGAAATTATGATACCTTGTAATGTAAATCAGTGAGATCTTA